TTGAATTGGAATGAGTAAAGAAAGAGTTAAAGACAGGATTGTGGATTTGAGGTGCCTTGTGCACTTAAGGTGTTTATACACCGAGGTAGTTAAAGGATGCAATAATACATGTTTGTCACTAATAAATTAAGAATTGAATTGGAAACTTGAATGATTTGTATGATTGATGTATGATTGGTTGTGTTGATTGCATGCGAGTCATCACCTAATCTAAACTGGTAAATCACGTAAAGTGCAAGAAGGATGAGCAATAAAACTCTGGATTTGTGCACATCTAGAGTAATGACAAACATGGGTTGGGGTTCACGGGGTATTAGCCGTGTACTTTTCAGAGGCCGTCTGATCTACGAGTCTCTTGTTTAAATTCTTTTAAAAATTATAATCAGTTAGATGAGATCTCATACTAGCTATGGCCACGGAGTCGCGCCCGTCTGCCATTGGATGTTTATTAATGTCTTCCGAAAGGAGGCATAGGGTTTTCTTATTTAATGTTCCGGAATGGAGCACAGGGGGATAACCCGGTTAATCCAATTAATTAATGAAGTGATCAATGCTACTTAAATAAAAACTTAGTAATGAGTAACTATGGAGTCATACAAGTTCGAGTACATACAAGTTCGAGTCAATGATAATATTGTGAGTGTATGGAATGCTTGTTAGTATCATGCTAGAACTCTTTACTATATTTTGTAACTTGTATGTACTCAGCGTTGTTGATTGCGTGCTTTTGTGTGTTTTCTTTGGTCATGGCCTTCGCCTTCAATGACCCTGTAATGATCCAATTATTACACTTGTAATATTGGGGAGCAGATTCATCACAGGTTTTTGCATAAACTTTCTTGCATCAGGGTGATGGGATTTGAGTGGAGCGTTGGTTAATTACTTAGCTTATTTCACTTCATAGACTGAGTTTATTTTGACTATAATTTTACTTACTTTCTATTTTATATGGATTTTGAATAAGGGCCTTTATGGTTCCAACTTGTAAGTCTAAAGGCTGATTTTGGTTTTTAGTTTCAAAACTTATATCCTTTTCTTTAAAAAAAAAAAAAAAAAAAAAAAAAAAACTAAGTTAGTTTTCCGCTGCTGATTTCTGAAACTAGCCTTAACGTTTGAACACGTGGCGGTAGCACTCCAATAATTCTCTTACAGGTTTTACAGGTTATTACAGGTTATACAGGTTTTACAGGTTATACATGTTTTTACATGTTTTCTTTTAGAGAGAATTATTGGGGTGTTACAGACCGCCTGCTAGAAGAGGCGGATCTTTGATCCACCTATTGTAGCGCTTGTTCAGCAGCTTGTCAGGGCTGGCAATGATTAGGAAGGTGTTTCTCCAATCCTTCCATTTATTTTCTTTGCCCTTCGTCATCAGATAGTCTTTGTGGCTAGTTATTTGGTACCAGCCGGTACCGCTTGCTTTGGGGGTCCGGCTAAGATAGTTCATATGGGTGAACGCCTCAAAATTCGGCTCCACCCCATGCATTTCACATCCGGCTACATAGCCAAGGATGTTGAACCAGGAATTCAGGGCTAACTGCCATATCCCCACCTTGTATCCATCGAGAATTTGTTGAACGACCGGATGCAAGGGAAATCGCAGACCAGCCTTAATGGTCGCCTCGTAGCAGCCAAAACAGGCGTCCCCGTAGCTAGACCCCGCGGGCCAGATGACTGTATCCTCACCATCCGGCACAAATACTTGAAAATCAAGACCCATCACATGGTCCGATAGAAAAGTGTCTATTCGTTCTTTCATGGCCTTGATCCGGCCCTTTGGGACATGACAGTAGTAAGGAGTATTCAACTCCCTATGAGAGGCGGATGGTTCCGACCAGTCGTCCCCCTTTTCAACCGCATGAGAAAGTCTCGCCTCATACAAGCGAGAATGCCTTTCCTCCGAGTTTATAGAGAGGCGGCTTGAAGAGCTAGAGTTAGACTCGCTACCAGAAGAGTCCGACTCCTCCCCTCTCCATGAGGGGGCCGACCCCTCTTCTTCTTCAAGGGCCGACTGCTGACTGTCCAGGTCAACAGTGAAGTGGGAAGGGACTACATTATCTCCCTCCTCAGAGCTCTCGGCAGAAGGGCCACCTTGGGTCCCTGCGGTATCAGGCAGCTAGTCCGACAGCTCACTAATTTGATCCCGGAAAGAGGAGCCATTAGAGTTTTCAATCCTCTTTGTCTTTTTTGTTCTTGCCATACTTTCCTGAATAGATATAAAGACAGTTGGATTCTGGGACTTGTGCAAAGTTTGAAAAACCGCAGGGCAGTCGGCACCCCTAGTCCTAGACTTAGCCGTCCTCGGTGACTGGATGATTGCTAACCTAGTTCGTGCCAGATGCTTTTGAGGTCTCATTTTCAAAAAAGAAAGAAAAAGTGCAAAAGCAAAAAGAATAAAGAAACAGACGGTTACCTGAAACTTAAGTTCTGAAGAAGAGCTTGATCGAGTAGGCGCCTAACAAAAGCAGTCGCCCTGTCAGAAATAATCGGCAGGTCAAAAGTTGCAAAGTGCCAGAGCTCAAGTTCAGGGGTCCGAGAGTTCTCTTGAAAAAGTTCGCAAATGTGAACAAAAGACTTGGTCAACATGCCTTTATATAGGGCAAAGGAGAATGCGGAGAGTCGCCTCCAAATTCAAAAAATGAGCGGGAAAAATGCTCGGCTCGTCATAAGGCGACACTTGTAGCAGGCCGTCGCTTGTTACAGGCCGACACCTGTCACAGGTGACATGTGAACAGTCATGTGCCACCTGTGAGGGGAAAATAATTAGGGGATTTTTCCCTACCAATCACCATCTGACAAGTGGACCATTCAGGCTTTGCCAAGTGTCCGCTTAATGGGCCAATAGAAGCCTGCCACGTGTCAGGCATTGATCTGTCCACCATGGACCAGTTGTGTCATGCCGCGTGGCCTCCATATGCCAAACAGGCCAAACGGCCACCTAGGCCCAAATTCCAAGGGAAGCCCAGTCAGCCCTAGGTTAACCTAAACCTAGTATTTGGCACGTTTCCCAAGGTTATAAATACTCTAATTAATCCTCATTAAAGGGGATTCGACAATTAATTACTCTCACCTAGAGAACCTAAACACACTGATCACTCCTCCCCTAGAGGAACCAGATCTCCCAACCTTTACTTTTCCGCACTTATTACTCCTCAAACAAGTACTAACTTGACCGTCGGAGGCGGAACTCCCACCACAAGGAGTCTCCGTTGTTTTGCAGGTACAGGCGCACGGATCTAGTCTCGGAATTGTAACTCTCCCGTAGGACATCAAAAAACTCCGAAACAATTACAATACAATTTAAATAAGTGTTTGTGATAATGATAATTAGAGAACCTTTGCAAAACCAGAGAAAATGAAAAAGAAGTTATTGTAACTTTTTCATACTCCAACTTTCATTATATATTGAACAATATATATATACAAGAGCAAAACCATCGTGAAAAACCATCAAATGCAAGAAGCATCAAACCCAGAAAACGTCCGGGCTCGATCGAGTTAACAACCGCTCGATCGGGCTGAAGAATTCCAGCAAAACCATGAGTGTGCGGGGCCGATCGAGCAGGTGTTGCTCGATCTGGCGACTGATTGTCATTTCTCCACCTCCACACGTGCTCGAAAGAACGGGGGTGGCCCAATTGGGCGGCAATTCAGTGAGTTTCACCCTCACTCTCGCGCTCGATCGGGCTACCATAGCTCGATCGGGCTGCGTTAATGGAGTTTTCTACTCCCTTTGTTTGCTCTTATTCCTTGTTTAATTAATTGCAACACCTTTACCTAAGCAAGCTAATTAAACAACATGAATATTCTCACTAATACTCTAAATAATTCAATAATCCCAAAGTGCCTCTAATGGGGTTGTGGTTGTGAGATGCAAATCTTACCACTAAACCAGGCTTTGTATCTAAGTAACTAAGTTACCGGTTATACTTTATACGATGTGGGGCCAAGAAATGCTTTGTTTACTTTGTACGAATGGTCATATATTGTGCACATTTTAGATTAAACTTTCTAGCCTCTCACCCTTTTTGCCTTTCATAAAAGCTTTGGCTTTTGTTTTGGTCGCCACCACCCAACATGAAACTAAAAAGGTTCCATTTAAAAGTTCCTTCAACAATCTTTAGTTATTATTAAAAGATAAAAGGAATAACCTTTGCTATTATTACTATTATTCTATAGCAATCTATTCTCCACTTTATAACATTATTATGCACTCCTTTTTTCATGTCCTTTGTGCGTTTTTGCATTTATGCAATTTTACCACTAAGTTAAAAGAATCTATCTTATATTAAGTTTGGATGCTTTTGGTAGGTAAACTATGGTCTTCGATTCCTATTTTATTGTAACGTTTAAAATTTTACATCGTATTGTTGCTCTTATTTTCCGAATCTTTTGTGATATAATTAAAGAAATATATATTCACGTGATATTTTGATTTTTTCAGTTCAGTATACGGTATAACTTTTAATATCCAAGTGCTATAAAAGTTTATTAAGAGATAATTAGAAAAATTTATTGTATAAATTGTGCATTGACAAATGTTAAACTTTAAATTGAAAGGTTTTACTATAAAACTTTAAAAAGATAAATACGGTAATATCATTGCTAAAATACATCAATTTGTTTGGGTCTAAAGGAGCCACAAGAGAAATATAGGGTACAAAGGAGGATGGAGAGATTTGGAATAATGACATATCATACATAAATCCTCATTTTTCATCATTAGATGTACTATATATATATCATGTATTCATGTTTAATTCAAACTTTGACTTGACATTATAAATAATAACTTTGACTTGACATTAATAACTATAATAATAATAATAATATAATAATAATAAATATGGATGGAAAACGAGCCTTGTCAATTTATTTATTAATTTATTTTGTCTAATATGATTTAACCAACCCAATTTAACGAGTATGAGGTATATGACAAATTGTGTATATTCATTTTTTTTTTTTGTTGAAGAAAGGGGGCAGAGCACATACCTTTCACTTAGCTATTTCACATTTTTATGGCAGTATAATTTCCAACATAGTAGTACAAATTAAGCAAAACAAATTATACTAAAAAAAGGGGTTTTTTATTGACCTAAAATTAGGATTTTGTTAATCAAAGCTCCTAGAATGGAAAATGTATACGTCACATAACAATAACACACTTCCCGGAAACAATCAATTTTATATTTTTATTCAATTCATTCATATAAAATCTCCATAAATAAAAAAAATAAAAATAAAAATGGTGGTATCTCATGCATGGCTTCTTTCCATTGGAACCGTATAAAGCTTACACGAGGATCCCATTTCCTCTCATATTATGTTTATGCTCTCTTCTTTTGCTTTTTTCTCTGCCACCCCAGATTCTCTTCTTTTTTTTTTGACGCCCACTAATTTATATTCGGTTCCCAATTCTTGAATGTTCTTCAATTTTTCTGGGGTTTGATCAATTTTTCAACTTTTGTTGAATTGATCAAACTAATTTACAGCAATTTCTGGCGCTTTGACTCATAGGGTGAGACCTAAATTAATTTAATTTTGGTTGCTTAGTTTTTTGGCATTGTTAATTTTATATTATGTGCATTTTTTTGAGGTGGGCCTGTGTTTTTTACTTGAATTTTGATTCTTTTTGGGTTATTAGAGGTTTATTTTGGATGTTAGTTTAATGGGTATTGTTTTATAGGTGTTTCTATGTGGTGGGCATTTGTTGTTTTTATTGATCATTGGTGTGATTACAGTTATATTTTCAATTTTTGTTTTAAATTTCATAAGTGCTGTGAATTATGTTTTGTTTCAACTGTATGTTTGAGCTTTTTATTGAGAATATTGTGATAGTAATGATTCCCTGTAAACCCGTTTAATGGGTGGTCGAGTCTAGAGCATATCGAATTATTTCGGGTTGTTCTAATTTAATTGGTTTGTTTATCTTCTGTTCACTACGGAGTATTTTTTTTTTTTTTTTTTTTTGTTGTATTAAGGTCTTCTTATATGCTGAAACTGATACTTGTTGAAAGCACAAGAGGGCAAACTTAATTAAATAGTTAAGAATTTCTTATGTAACAGCTTATGTGTGCTGATTTTGGACTAATAAGATATCAATGAAAGCTGAATGTTTACTGCTTCAGGTTATAAATGTAGTAATTTTCGTAGGGGTGAGTTATATATTATATTCTTTGTGGGTTACAGATTGAGCATATGCCTGGAAACAAGTATAATGGTAATTCAAATGTACCGTCGAGTAGAATATCCAGGCTACTTGAACTGAGGCAGTTAAAGAGAACAAGCAGGGCTAACAATGAATTCTCGGATAACAATAGCCCCGAGCCTGGTGGTGGGCATGATTTTTCGCATGTAGAAAAATACTTGGCAGATGCTGTGGCTGGAAGTCCTACCCAAAGACTATTAGTGGTTGCCAATCGTTTACCAGTATCTGCTGTTAGGAGAGGTGAAGACTCTTGGTCATTGGAAATTAGTGCTGGAGGGCTGGTTAGTGCTCTTTTAGGTAATCTTACACTTTCATTTTGATCAATGTAAATTGTGAAATTATGTGCATGGAACTATGTTGTAGGAAGCTTTCTAAAGTTTAATTATTAAGTAGAATTTTGAATGATTTGCAAAAGGTGTAAAGGAATTTGAGGCAAGGTGGATTGGATGGGCTGGTGTTAATGTTCCGGATGAAGTCGGACAAAATGCTCTCACAAAGGCTCTTGCAGAGAAGGTTTGTTACTTAATTGATTACTGGATCATATTTACTGCATAACTTTCTTTGCGAGGAATCCTTCTGCATGACATTTAGTATTACTGTGCTATTCGTTATGAGCTTTCTCATGTGATTGCAGAGATGTATACCTGTTTTTCTAGATGAAGAGATAGTGCATCAATATTATAATGGTTACTGCAACAACATATTGTGGCCTCTTTTTCATTATCTTGGTCTACCTCAAGAGGATAGGCTTGCTACCACAAGAAGTTTTCAATCTCAGTTTGCTGCTTACAAGAAAGCGAATCAGATGTTTGCTGATGTAGTAAATCAGCACTATGAAGAAGGTGATGTTGTTTGGTGTCATGATTATCATCTCATGTTCCTCCCAGAGTGCCTAAAAAAGCATAACAGCAATATGAAAGTTGGATGGTTTCTGCACACCCCATTTCCTTCCTCTGAAATCCACAGAACCTTGCCATCTCGTTCAGAATTGCTCCGTGCAGTTCTTGCTGCTGATTTGGTTGGGTTAGTCATCCTTTATATATCACTATGTTTTGTTAATGTGCTGTCTGTATATATCTTTTACATGCACAAGCTATGATTTTTATTGGTCTGTGTCATATATATCAGAAGTTTGAATCTGATCCTAGTTTTATATCATCTACTTCATGCGTTCTTTTTAATTGGCTCATTTTGACTTTTGACACTATTCATAAATTCTGCTTTGACTACCTTTTGTGATTTATAGTTATAATTAAACACAGTGACGTTGGATCTTGTTAGAATTGTTTTAATAATATTTTCAGTAGTACTCTATGCTCGTGATGCGTGCCAATATTTCATATACTAATATACATTAATAATTGAAGAGAAGATATAAATACCTCCAAGGTTAATAATGTGTAATTAACAGAGTGTAATTAAAGACATCAAAGAAAATATTTCAACAAATGAATTATACTCCTTATTCATATGTGCATAAGTAAATTGTCTAAATTTAGGTGTCTCGGAACCCCTTTTTTGTGATTGACAAAAGAATTGGGTCCTAATATGTGCTTATGTTATGTAACTGGAGTTTAATAGGATGTAGTGTAAAAATCATTGGATGGATGGCTGTTCTATAAATTGTCAACGGCTCATAGTTTGAATTTTTGTACCGTCAATTTGTCATAACTCATTTCTGTTTTGGTGTTGTTACACAACAGTTTATTGGGTTGTTGTTGGTGCTTGCTTCTGTTTGAATGCTGTGTAGTTTCAGAATAAGCAAATAAGTAATCACATTCTTGAAATTGTGTTGTGATTGTATTTTTTTTTTTTTTTGAAATACTTTATATTTAAATATTATTTATTACATAGCATTGATTCATTAGTACAGGACTTTTAGTGTGAGATTGAAAGATAGCTCAAGTGGTTAGAGCTTCCCTTCCGGTTCCATTCTCACCACCGCCGTTGTGGCTCTCTAAACACCAAAATAAAAAAAAAAGGTTTTTTAGTGTATCATAATTGGTGAAATCTAAGTATGGTACGAAGTAACATTTTATGGAGGACTTAAGCATTTAAGACATGATCTTATGGTTGCTTCATTCACTTGATAGGATTCTTTTGCTATAGCGCATGCGCTATTAAGACTTGCCGAGCAGTCATCCGATACGATGGATGGCTTACCGACCATGGAGTTAGAAGAAAGGAGCGCCTGAATGTTTCGCAGGAGTAGCGTCCCCATCCTTGTGCTGTAAGCCTACGGCCCCCCAATCATTCCTTTCCCTAAATGAGCAGGTGAACTTCTGCTTTAAAAAAACAGCAAAAAGGAACGCGACCCCCCAACCCCAATTTTTTTGCTCGCTATTTCGTACCACTCTGGGGGAGAAACTAAAAGATGGCTCGATCCCACACGCATAGAGGGGGAGCTGTGTCTCGTGCAAACATATGATTGAAAGCCTTTCCATTTTCGAAAGAAAAAGAAGAAGAATGGAAGCCTTTGAAACCCTTTTCATGATGGTAAGAAAAAGAAAGAAAAGAAAGAAATAAAGAAAAGGAAATTGAAGCTTTTTTTTAAAACCAATAAGTGATTTTCAAAATCGCCATTTCCTCGATTTTGCAGATACAAGAAAGAAGTCTGGAACCAGCGGCCTGAAGGCCTTCCCCCTGGCTCCCGCAAACTTCTCTCTAATCGCAGATTGTTGTTGAAGATCTTCCAAGGAATTCTCCGCACTCAAAATTGAAGCATCAATCGCTTCATCAGTTACTACTGGGTCTTCGACCTCCAAAGCCTTAACCCCCATGATTTCATCAATTGACTTCGTCTTTTGCTGAGGAGACCAAAGGTAAGGAGATCTAGAATACCGGAATGCCTTAGATCTGGTTTAGGGCATATTTCTCCTTGAACAATTCGAAGTAAGCTATCTTCTAGAGAGCGTTTAAACTGTCACAGGGCGAACTTCACCCTTCACCTATTTTTGAGCTATTGAATTAGGCGATCCGAAATTTATTTTTCACTCCCCTTTCCCTATTAGGGAAAGAACTTGGCTCCACGGCCCGGACTCCCACAGGGGGCAGCAGTGCTTTGCCAATCAGGTAAGACCAAATGGGGACGGTAAACTGCAAATTTTTCCAGTATTCATTGCTCGGTTGGCTGGAATCTCGCACAACGCATAACCAAATAATATTTTTGCCAATGACGGATTCCGCGCCCTTGATTCCAGAGAGCAAGTCGTTTTATGTGCTGGTACTGTTCTTTTTGATGGTTGAAAAGGGCGGCTGCCGCTTTCTTTCATTTCATAAGGGAATCCAATTTCCCAACCCTAGTTGATTTTATTTATAACATCTTGCCAGTACGCAACAAGAACAGAACAGCAGGAACCTCACAAACCTTTTCGGTCTGTTACTAGTATGTTAGGTTTTTTTCGGTCTTTGCTGGTCCCGCTGCCCTTACCTACTCCAATCCCGAAACGAAAAGGAAGACCGAACAATTTAATACAAAGAGTTCCGACCAAGACTGAGTACAGAGGCGACGAGGGGTGCTAACCCGGCCATCCAACCCAGCAGGTCCGGAGTCGGTGGCCATGAATACGTACTAGTAGCAATCGACTCAAGTATACTTCTCCAATCCTTGCTTACTCGTTATCGTTGAAAGAAAGTTAAAGAACCTTAAACAGAAGTATGGGAGAAGCTAGTTTTGAATAACAAATCCCATTAAGGAAGAAGCGAGAAAACCCTATTATTGGATAAGCGGGTTTAACATTCATTATCTACGCTAATTAGGTTCGGATAAGTAGTTATCTATGCTCACCCTTATGCTTGTACTGGAGAGTTGCTCACTCCAGCGAGCCTAGGTAGGGCTCTGAAAATATTTCGCAAGCAGTTTTACGATGATCAGAGCTTGGTTTTAAAGGTACTTCAGCATGGATAAAAGCAAAAGTAGGAGTAGAGGAAGGGGCCGGTTTTCAAAGAAGTCACTGCATAACTATAGTGTAGTAAAAAATCTATCCTGGCTTAGTGCAAAAAACTGTATCTTGGTAAAAAGTAAGTGTTTTTAGTTGCATTCCAACAGGTTGATATCTCTAGTTTTCATCAGTTTAATAATTTGGGGAGTGTAAATGCTAATTTGAATATTGTTAAATATGTAGTCACATATAGCTCATTTTGTCAAATAGTTGTTGTACATCACTGGCTTTAAGGGGAATATACGTTCACATGTATAACGATAGTTGCCATGCTATTATTATTAGCTCTGAGTGTGTACGGAAGTTCTACAAATATCTGGTTGTAGATTATATGTTCACAAACTGGTCTTCTGGAGTGGTGCATTATTAAATGTATCTTTGACAGCAGAAAATTATATCTGGGCATCAACTGGATACTTATGTGTACATATTGACTTAAGTGATTAAACTATAAAGATTCAGCATTCAAGTTGCATTACTGTTCAAATTTTGTTCACTCTACTATCAATGTTGTTCCTTGCAGTTTTCATACCTATGATTATGCTAGGCACTTTGTTAGTGCTTGCACTCGTATTCTTGGGCTTGAAGGCACACCGGAAGGTGTAGAGGATGATCAAGGCAGATTGACCCGTGTGGCTGCTGTATGTTAAAGCAATATGTTTTTTTTATTAGCTTGTTGATTTAGAGTTGGCTGATATCATGCTTTTTTGATGTTGTCTAATTTCATTTCATAAAAATTTTCTTGTTTCTGTTGATAATTTCCAGTTTCCTATTGGGATCGATTCTGATCGTTTCATTCGAGCACTTGAAGTTCCTCAAGTTCAAGAGCATATCAAGGAATTAATGGAAAGATTTGCTGGTCGGAAGGTAGGCTGTTGTCTATTTCGAGCTCAGTTCAGTGTCTTCTTGTGAATGTATCATTTATAACATTTTAATTTTTTGGTGACTTCCAACTCCTGTATTTTTCTAAATGACTTCGATGAAGTTAATGAATTTGTGTGGAATCACCTCTTTTGTACAACAAAAATAGTATCAAGTGCAGCATAAAGATTTGATGAAGTATGTAATAAAGAATTGCTGTAAAACAAGGGTGTTTACTCGCAATGTAACATAAGCTGTTACAGAGTTATAGAAGAGAGCTATGGAGTACAATTTTTTTAGACAGAGTAGAGTCCAGTAGACAGCCTCATTTCCTAGCATAAGCTGTTATTTAGCTTTAGCTGAGAGTTACAATCTGATTGGTTTAATCAGTTGATATCAATGGCATCGTATAGGTGTTTCATATAAATGAATAACCAGATAGGTCCAGATTCCACGTTATATGTTGAGATTCAGATGTCTTTAATGTACAACAAAGAGGAATTACTTAAACACATAAGGTGATTGGTGAGATTTTGTAGACGGATATGGATAAATCCTCCATTTGCTAATTTTGAAGATCTGTTCTGTTTCCACCCAGCTTTTATTGCTTGAATGCTACTTGCCAACAAAATTGATTGCTTTTTTTGGTGGTAGAGATAATAGTCATTGTGAGAAGTTGTACTTTTTGTATTGAGGATGCCATTGGATAATAAAACTCAGTATCAATCATACATTCCTATCACAAGGCCGGTGTTACCTGGAACTCTGGAATGCAGTATGTCTGCTGCATAGATGGGTACAGGAACAACATTCACTGCCCAGTTTAGTTAACTTTCTCAAACTTATACTAGTGCACTGTATAATGTATTGATTTAAAGTTTTCCGATCATTATTTGGGGCTGAGTGGCGGGGGAATTTGTGAATCAGATAACACCATGCCAGACTGATAATGTAATTGGTGCTGAAAAGGGCTAATCAATATTTTGCTGCAGTGTTCATCAGTCTGGTACTTAGTGCATATGTGCTTATCTTGGGACCTGGTTTGTAGTATGTCTATGCCAATCCTAGGCTGCTACTGCTTATTATCTTCTTCCTAATCGTCTATTTGTATTGTGTCAATTTATCACTATGCTGCACAAGTTTTCATTCTAGTTTTATATGAATTTCACTTTGGCAGGTAATGCTAGGTGTTGATCGGCTTGATATGATAAAAGGAATTCCACAAAAGATACTCGCCTTTGAAAAATTTCTGGAGGAAAATCCTTACTGGCGGGATAGAGTTGTTCTTCTCCAAATTGCTGTTCCAACAAGAACAGATGTTCCTGAATGTAAGCTCCCGCTCTGACAACACCTCTGCCCCCCCTACGCCTCAAGTAAAGAAAAAAAAAAGTGTAAATATGCATATATGTCTGTGGGCACTCACATATACACAAAATTATGTGCTTGTATAGTTCTAATAGAAAAATTTGTCACAAACCACCTTATGAATTAAAATTTTTGTCACAAACCACCTTATAAAATACAAACTTTGTCACAAACCACCTTGTAATTTTTTTTTCTATTAAAACAAATATGATTTCAAAATTTTTGTCGCCTTTACTCAGAATATGGTTGTTGACCCACTATTCCGGCGTTGACCCCTACATCATCACCCCACCACCGCCACCTGCACTAGCTTTGCCGCATTACCAGCCGACCAACCCGAAACCATCCTCACCGGCCCAAAACCCTACACTAGCCACCCAAAAACCACCCACCCACCCAACCAGAGACCGCCCCTCACCGGCCTGAAAACCACCTTAACCACTCGGAAAACCAGCACTCTAACTACATGAAGACCACCATACAACTACCTCTTTTCCTCCCCCACCCATGAAACCTTCTTTCCTCTCTTTCTCCTTCTCGCATCTCTTTCAGTGGGGAATGGGGAAGGGGTGGCTGAGGGTTTCGGTGGTGAGGTGAAGGGCGGTGTGGCTGAGGGTTTCGCGGGGAGGGGAAGGGGTTTCTAGGGTTTTGAGGGGAAGGGGGTAGGGGTTTTGGGGAAGAGGAGGACTTTTCTAGAGTTTTGCCGGGTAGGGGGTAAGGGGAAGAGTTGGTTGTATGGTGGTCTTCGCGGTCTTGACAAAAAGTTTTTGAAATCAGGTCTGTTTTAACAAAAAATAAAATAAAATTATAAGTTGAATTTTCACAAAAAATTTGTTTTATAAGGTGTTTTTAACGAATTTTCGCATTTAATGGAGAACAAGCATTATATATGGATAATAGCGATATTGGCACATATTTACTCCACTGGTCCTCTCTACTATAATATTTTCTAAGTTCTTATAGGTTCAATGTGGAAATGAAGTGTTATTGCATGCATACGTTGAATGTTACTATTGTAATTTATGCTGGTTGAGATTTTGTTCAACATGATGACAGAATGGTTTGTTTGATTGATGTCTGCCATCAAGTTAATTATACCGTGTGCTTTTATGTAATGTTCAGCTGTGTATCATGTGACTGGCTTAAATTATCATTATGTATTAACTTTAGTACCTTCAAGAAGCCATACCAGGGATACTATTATGTTTTTTTTTTTTTTTTTTTTTTTTTATTATCCTTACTAAGTATGGTACACTACCCTAAATGGGCTGATATGATGATAAGCAGAATACTTTCAGCTCAATGGTAAAAAATTGCTGAGGTTGGGGGTGATATCTTCTGGGTAAGTAGTGAAAAGTATCAATTGTCCTTTACTGTGATGTATTTCTTATTGTCCTATTATAGGTTGACACATGTAGCTTAGGCTGATGGTGTTATGAAGTTTCCGCTTGTTAGCTTATGTGTCATCTAGGAGTTAACATATTTCCAATGGATAATCCTTTTTGTCAAATTTCTAATGGACGTACCATGCATATTTGTCAAGCATGACTTCTGAGTGTTTTTACTCCTGATAAATTTTGTGTTATTGAAATGAGATATACAAAAAGCTACCATGGAAAAGAATCAGTTGTACTTGTAATTATTTATTTATATATCTAATTCATCATTATTATTATTTTTATTGTGATATTGCAAAAGATGATGCCATTTTTCTAGAGATAATGCAAGTATATTTGGAACATCTATCATTATCCGATTTGTCCTGTATTTTTATACTGTTGTCTGATTTTTATTTGTGCTCCATGAGTTTCTGAAGTTTATGTTTTTTATTGCTCCATGACTTCCTTCTGGTGTGTATTTTGTATGTTTTCTCTTATTTTCTTAATCTTTTTGCAGATCAAAAACTTACAAGTCAAGTTCATGAAATAGTCGGACGCATTAATGGGAGATTTGGAACTTTATCACGTGTTCCTATACATCATTTGGTATGTTTTAAATTCTTAATATGTTTTTTTTTTTTTTTTTTTTGGTATGTAGTATCAGTAATCCTTGATAAGATGCTTGAGTTGCTATGGGATTTGGGATTTTATCTAGGAAAAATTAGAAATAATAAGGAAAATTTATCAGAAACAACCTTTTAAAGGGTTTACTTTATTTAAATCAACCTTTTAAATTTTTTTTTTGTAACTTCAGACCACATTATAAAATTTTTTGTCAAAGACAACCTAATGGCTAATGCTACTTTCCGGCGTTGACTCTATTTCTTCCGGTGTTGACCACGAGTGTGCAAGGCACGTGACCTCTTATGTTGCTTAACACACCCCTTTTCCCTCCAATTAACTCTAATTAAAACCTCTGCTTTTCTCTCATTCAATTTTGGAGACAAAAATCACTGTTCACCATCAATACCCTCTGCAATTCTTCTCTACTGCTGCTACTTCCATTAACGAAGAGTTCCCAAATACAATAAGAATTCATTTATGCAATTTAGTTTAAAGGTTCAAACTTTCTCCTATTTTCACTTCTTCATTATTTTTATTTTATTTTATTTTATTTTATTTTACATTTGCTGCCATGGTTAAAGATAAAGTAAAGAAGAAAGCTGTGTCATCTTCTAGGGAATTAGGGTCAATTATTGAATAATACAAAAGCCCAGGTAACTCGCTTTACGTGTTGCATCCTCTTTCCATTGTTGTAAAACTTACAAGCGTAGAATTTTATCATGAGTCCACAAGGTCCTCTTAGCAACAGGGATACCACAAGCGCATTTGATATCCTACAGATAAATGCTGCATAATTGACAAATCCTTTGTCAATTAATTCGATTTCAAAAATTTGGGGGAAAAAACCCTAATTTTCGAAAACACCAGTTACAAAAAATGAAACAAACAATTAAACAATAGCAACCACGATACCTGGTTCGAAATTGATGTATTGCTTGGTTGAAAACTTGAAATCCCAGATTCAGATAGCTTTCGAGAAATTTACCCTAGAATATTTTTCCTATTGATCGAAAAAGAGGAATGAGAGAGAAGCAGAGGTTTTGATAAGAGTTAATTGGAGGGAAAAGGGGTTTATTAAGCAATATAAGAGGTCACGTGTCTCGCCCACTCGTGGGCAACACCAGAAAAAATAGAGTCAATGCCGGTAAGTAGCATTAGGTTGTCTTTGACAAAAAAAATTTATAATGTGGTTTGAAGTTACAAAAAAAATTTAAAAGGTTGTTTTAAATAAAGTGGACACTTTAAAAGGTTGTTTCTAACAAATTTTCCAAATAATAATCCCAACTTTTATGAATTTTGCTAAAATCCCAACTTTGGATAATTCTGGAATAATCCGAACTTTGGGGGTTCTTCTTTTTCTTCAATCCCTAATCGGTCAACAAAAGTCAATGACCTACTATATCAGGTCACTTCACACGTGTCAAGTCCTAATTGGTCCAAAAAAAAAAAACAAAAAAAACCAAAATTAAAAAAAAAAACCACCCAGCCAAAACCCCAACCACCCTAAGAGTTCCGGCAGGCCGCCCACCCAGCCACCTCCCTCGTCGGACTGTCGGACCTCCCCCTCCACTAGTGTTGCCGCTCCAGCCGCTACCATCTAAACCACCATCCCCCCTCCCCGAAACCCCCATGCAACCACCAATAAAAACCCGTTGTTGGCTTCCCCTCTGGCCTGGTCCGGTGAGCTATGGATCTATTGGTTAAGGAGAGAAAATTGACACCAATTTCTCAACTCTGCAAACCACCTCTGGTCCACCACTGACACTAATTCCTTAACTCTTCAAACCACCTCCTCATCCCACCAACCACCAGCCATTGCACTCATTTCACAACATCTAACCAGTCGCAACCCACCATCTTCATTCAAACCACCACCACCCTTGTCTGACCATAAAATTGGGCTTGAATTGTTCAAAGAAGAAAGAAATTAAGAACTCAAACCACCACCATTTGCAAATTTCAGATGTGATTTCCTTTTCCACTTGAATTGTTGATAGTGAAAGGGTATAGGAGAGAGAAATTAGAGTTGTGGGGTGAAGGCAGCCTATTTATGGTGGTTGTTTGGTCGGTAAAGTGGTCATTTAACAATGAGGAAGATGATTTTCAGGAAACAATCGGAGGTTGGATTGGGAGTGTTGGTCGGTGGGCTATGGGTCTATTAGTTGAGGAGAGAGAAAATTGAATTGAGAGTGAAGATAGTGGTGGTGGTGGTCGTTCGGCAAGGATAGGGTGGTTCGGTGATGGTTTCAAGGTCCATGGTGGTGATTCAGCAAGGAAAGAGTGGTTCGGTGGCTGGGGTTAGGGGTTTCGGGATGAGGGATGTCAGATAGGGGGTGGAGATGGTGTTTTCCAGGGTGGGAGAGGGTCAGGGTCAGGTTTCGGGTTTGAGCAGTGGGTGGGGATGGGGGTTCCGGTGAGCAGGGGTGGAGGGTTGGGTGATTTGCTGGTGTTTTTTTTTTTTTGGGTGGTTTTTCTTTTTTAATTTTGGTTTTTTTTTTTAATATTTTTTTTAACCAATTAATTTGTGACACGTGTCACTTTAACAAAAAAAATAAAAAATTAACTCATTCAACTAGTAACCGGTATTTGGGATTGAAGAAAAAGAAGAACCCCCAAATTTTGGATTATTCCAGAATAATCCAAAGTTGGGATTATTCAAGAAAAATTCATGAAAGTTGGGATTATTATTTCTAATTTTTCCTTTTATCTAATCTATTTCCTTTTTTGTTATTTCCCAATTTAAACTCTGAAAATGCTTTGTTTTTCTGTAAAAATGCAATATTTGTGGCCTTATCTCGTGAAAAATTTATATACACCTGCAATATCTGTGTAGTATTTATATTCATTATTTGATTTCTCTGTATGATTTATATCATTTGAGGGTACCAGGAACAATGTAATCAATGTTATACTAAGGAGTGAAGCTTTTTGTTGGATTTCCAGTCCTTAATAACCATGTTGTTATTGTGTTACAGAGGATAGAAATTTCACATTGCTGGTCTCTCTAAATGACATTGAATTTATTCTGACTAAATATATTAGAGTGGGACACAATACAGAAGCTGTTTGTTTCTTAACTTGGTTTGATTACTTTGATATGCTTTCCCATGATTCATTCTCTGTCTATGTTGTACACCATCTATGTTGAGTAGGTTGTAGGTTCCTTACATTGTCCTATGACTAAGTACCAAAATTGAGAAGTGCTTCTTGCTTAGATTCTGTTGGTGTTACCCAATTGAACAAAGTGACATTAATTGGTTTACTGGATGATAATTGAGAAGGCATCGATGACTAGGTAAAACTTTTTAGGGATACTTTGGAATTGCAATGAAAATCTTATTAAGTTCAGTAGGTCTAAATCAAAGAGATATGGTTATGACCATCGTAAAAATTATCAGCTAGAGGGACAAAATCAAAGTACTCAAACATACAAGTATATCTCGAATGGACACACCTTGCTTGGTAACACACATGAGCTACCCCTGGCAATCCTCTCGTTAAAAAGTGTTTAAGAGGATTTCAGAAAGAAAGAAAAGAGTGTTGTGAAAGTGATGTACTGATAATTTCCTCGAGTAAAACGTAAGAAAATTTTTGATGTGCCAAATTTGGTCTATCTACAAGCAACCTTAGGTTTGATATCTTCTAAATCTTCAAATATTGATTAGCCATTCATATGTTATCACTTGTCATGCTGAGGTTGGTCTTTGCATCTTGGGAAGTGAGAAATTTCTATTACTTGATGCCTTCCCCTTTGGTTAAGAAGGATACTACTAACATCTTCTGAAGCCTTAGTTCATCTTTAAATAGAATATGACTTTTTATATAGAATGTCCATTGACCACAAACATGTACTAGCTGAATCTACAGTAGCAAGCAGTGAGTTACTGTGCTCCTGTGTATACCTGGTCGATGTGGTGTATAGTTGTGTGCTGGCCAGGATTGGGTGGTTGCAGTAACTCACAACTATGTGCAGCATACATAAACTTCTCGTTGGGGGTGGAAATAATACTATTTATTGGAAATATTAAAACTTGTGTATCCACTTAAGCATACATTTCTGTATTTGTCTCTTTTTTTAAATGGAATTGCTGGGCATGACCCTGTGAAATCTCTTTAGCCTAATTTGCTGGATACATCTGTGGCATATAATTATTCTGCGTTTAGTTTTTACCCAAAGCTGAAGTAGGTGTATGATCTATTTGCAGGATCGTTCTCTGGACTTCCATGCCCTTTGTGCTCTATATGCAGTGACTGGTACAAGTCTCTTACTGACATCTGAAGTATTTAAATTTTCTTGGGTATTAAATTTTTATCTCCACGTGTTATCCATGTGTTTGTTGAGGTTTTTATATTTAATATTTGGTTGAGAAGCCAGATTTTGTTGCTAAAGTCTAAGACTTGCTGTACTATCCTGAAACATGGTTTACAGTAATTTGGTTGGCATGGTTGACATTGATTGAATCATCTCGCCTTCCTTTATGATGACTGTTCATCTAGGCATACTTTCTTCTCATTGCATGCATAATGTAGAGCAAGACAAGGGGATTCAGGTGTATACTGCACCTTTACAAGTGAACTGGGACTAAGGCAAACAGTTGAGGCTCTGTTTTGCATTCGTTTAACATATTACGCTTTTAGGCAGAAGTGTTTCTTTAGGTTTAAGCCTATCTTCTAAAAATTTGTAATTATTTCCACAGAACTTTATAGAACACATGGTGTTACGGACGGGTTAATTGAAGATGAAGATCAAGAGAAAGGCATTGTTGATGCAGTTGTTCAGATAAATCTGATTTTATATTTCAAGCATTTGATAGGATTGAACTCTCCCAATACCAAATAAGATAAACTATAAAAATGCAGCATACCATATTGCTGGTTACTTTTCCTTTCTCAATTTCCTCCATATTCCTTCTTTCATTCTCCCTTAATATATTCCGAGCTGTTTAACAGTTTTGCTTGGTCTGGTTAGGACCCTGAACTCACAGTAATATACATGTCTACTATGTCTATCTTGCTACTTATTTAAGTTAAATTGAGATCTATATCTAATGCACAACAATGCTACATACACTTGATCCTCCCACCCAACCCTTAATCTCGATCAGAATTATTTTTTTTATTTTTATTTTTTTTATTTTTTTTATTATTTTTTTTTTATCTCGTAGTTCTAAGGGAACTACTGCTAAGCTCTTAGCTCACATGGCACTAGGGAGTAAGGAGGATTACTATATCAATTTTCAGCTACCTTCTAACTGCATGTTTATGTCAAGTTTCAGCTACCATCTAACTACAAACCATTTCTTCACAGATGTAGCACTGGTCACTTCATTGAGAGATGGCATGAATCTGGTCAGCTATGAGTTTGTGGCTTGCCAAGATGAAAAAAAGGGTGTGCTCATTCTTAGTGAGGTAAGTCCTAAGATTTGTATAGATACATAATATTATATGCATGCCTCATGTACCATAATGAACCCTGACATTTCATTTTACTGGAAACAAAGGGGATGGACACTTCTGAGGTTGATTTGACCATTTTAGCAGAAATTATTGTCATATCAAACACATGATATTTTTTTTGTTGGTTAATATTCATTGAATTCCAAGTATATGCATTGAATTCCAAGTATACGCTTATGAGGGCTGAAATCTCACATAGTCTAAAAATTAGTCTAGTTCTGAATATTATCAGTAATGAAACTTGTGATTAGCCTCTGAATATGTGCCTCACAGCTGTATCACTCGTGTATTGCTTTGCCTTTCTTTCCTTTAGACACTCCAATTTGATCTGGTACCCTCACAAAATGCATGTTCGAGCACAGACACACACACTCACACACACACACACACACACACAGGGAGAAGTTTCCTTAAAAAGAAAAGGGTGAGAAAGATGCATTTTGAAACTAGTCATGAAATTTTTTTTGATGTAAGGATATACCTTGGAAGTTTGAATTTATCATTCGCTAAACCGAATGAACTGCCAATGTAGGCATTATAAGAAAATGCTTCCCTTATTCTTGATAGGCTGTTTCCAAAGCTGTGTTCCTTTTTCTTGTCCTTAATGGCTGAGTTCAATTTAATTCTTTTATGTGGAAAGTTTGCTGGAGCTGCACAATCTTTAGGAGCTGGAGCTCTTTTGGTAAACCCGTGGAATATCACAGAGGTAGCTGCTGCAATTGGTAAAGCCTTAAACATGTCAGATGAAGAGAGAGAGAAAAGGCACCAAATTAACTTTTTACATGTTACAGAGCATACTGCTCAGGAGTGGGCTGAATTTTTTGTAAGGTATGTGAATATAGATTCATTTATGCTTTTAGTTTATTACTAGTGTTAAATTTCCATGGGCATCAAATTCATTCAATGTACACTTGCAACTTCCTCCAATTATTCTAAAGATGAGGTGGTGAAAATCTTTGTTGTTTGATAAATACTTATCATTGTCCTGGTAATTGAAATGCTGTTCTGAAACACTGATTTCTTTGATGTGCTGCATTCCTCCTAGCTAATGTGCTCCAAACTGATGCATAACATAAAAAAACTCTTAATGAAGTTTAATGAGGAAAAAAGGAAGAAGAATAGGTTCAAATGAGATCTTAGTAAAAGCAAAGGACCACTTTATCCATGATAAATTAATGAGAGTTTTATTTAGGATTTTTTTTCACGGTGCAGGCCGCTTCCTGGGCAGATTGCCCTTGAATCTGCCCATGTCAATGAAATAGGACAATGGAGGGATTTTCTGTGTTGCAATGCTTTTATGAATGCTTCCTTGTGTTCTGATTGCTGTGGGACAAAGTACCATATTTAGTGTTGTTATGCGCTAAGACGGCTGGGGCTTTTTACAAGTTACTCAATTAGGGAGATACAAATTTTTTGGTTTAATCTGTAATTTTGCTTTTGTGATTAAAGGACAGCTTGTCCTCTTTTCTCTGTACTGCATTTTTCCAGCTGTTAAAAAGAAAAAAGAAATTTGGGAATTTGAGCTTGCTTAAATTCTGACTTGATTGTTAATCATTTTAACTGTTGCGCTGTTTTGTAGTGAGCTGAATGACACAGTTGTAGAGGCTCAATTGAGGATAACACAAATTCGCCCTGTACTTCCAGTTGACTGTGCTGTGAACAATTTCCTGAATTGTAGCAATCGACTACTCATACTGGTATTGTATTTTGTTTACACTTTCCTTTTTGGTTAATTTCGCTGCAAGTTTGTTTCTAGCTGTTTTTGCTAATTGGATCAATTTCTGCCTGTAAGCTAATGTAATTTGTACATGTTAATTGTTATACTCCCTACGTCCCACTAGTTAGTACACGTTTCTCATTTTCCACGAGTTTTAAAGCAAATAGATATTTGCCAACTTATTAATTTGTTTTGTTTTATGTGCATAAGTACAAACCAAAAGGGACAATGTACAGTGCAATAATTACAAAAAGGAAAAGTAGGTGGGAATCTTGGGATATACTGAGGAATTAAATTGGGACATAAAGGTAAATGGTTCAAAAATATTCTATAAAAAGAAATAGGCACTTAATTGGTACACCCGATTAGGACTACCAGCACTTAATAGAGGGACAAAGGGAGTATTATACAAGTAACTATTCTTATGTTCCTTGCTCTATACATTTTTAAAGGGACACCCCTAGATTCAGCTTCCTTTTCTCTAAAGAGTTTAATAAAGCCTTTTGTTTTTGATTCCAACCCTGCCACCCACAGAAATGGACTTAATTAATAAAAGCTCACTACTTTTTTCCTAAGTCAATTGGAAGTGCCTCATGTGTCGTGTCTTCAGAATGCTATTCCTTTGTAGTCAATGCTGAAGTAATTAGTCTATAGACCATTTGAGTCAATGGGAATCGTTTGCTCAGCATCAAGAAGTTAACTGTAGAGTACCTTTTGAGATTTATATTTCAATTATTCTATGATTGCTTTTTAGAGAGGTCCATCTTTATATAGTCCATCTCTTCCATAACCATTTGATGTAAACAGTTTTATAGAATTATCATTGAGTTACTACAGCTGACTTTACTGACGTGTCTTCTTAATTTCAGGGATTTAATGCTGCCTTGACTGAAGCAATTGATACTCCTGGTAGAAGGGGTGGAGACCAAGTGAAAGACATGAATTTTAAATTGCATCCAGAGCTGAATGGTCCTCTGAGTGTGCTGTGCAATGACCCAAAATCAACAATCGTGATCCTCAGTGGAAGTCGCAGAATTGATTTAGATAATGTATTAACTTATCCTAAACTCTTTTTTTTTTCTTTTTCTTTTTCTTTCTCTTTTTTTTTCTTTTTTTTTTTTCCCTCCTGCTTCTTTGAGTCATTGATTCTAGCTAGAGTAGAACATCATTCAATTTGCTAATATTTGAGGAACAAGTTGTCATCATGTTAGGCACGAGATTGGACATGGTTCTCAATCCTAACATCTATATTTCTGGTTCTAATCTTATTTGTCTAGAATTTTGGGGACTATGACATGTGGTTGGCAGCAGAGCACGGGATGTTCTTACGGCATACAAGAAGAGGAGATTGGATGACAACAATGCCTGAGCATTTGAATCTGGATTGGATTCCCAGTGTATATGTACTACCTCCTGTCCCTGCCTAATGATAGAACGTTTCAGACTTTTTTGAGCTTTATATGTATATATATAATGTCTAATTTCTATAATCACACCTGTTTGATTGATTTTTGTGTAGCATGTATTTGAGTATTTCAAGGAAAGAACTCCTCGTTCGACTATTGAGCTTCGTGATACCTCCCTTGTATGGAATTACAAATATGCTGGTATGTTTCATGCCCTAGTTAGGTTTCCAGGATTTCCTTTTCTTCAAAACTTATGTTTCTTTTTTTCTTTCTTTCTTTCTTTTTTTTTTTTTTTTTTTATTATTATTTTTTTTGTATTTTTTTTTTTTTTTTTTTATGTATATGATTCGGCTGCAGATTTTGAGTTTGGAAGATTGCAAGCAAGAGATATGTTGCAGCATCTTTGGACTGGCCCTATTTCAAATGCATCTGTAGAAGTTGTTCAAGGTAGTAGGTCTGTTGAGGTTCGACCAGTTGGTGTTACAAAGGTGATTTTTCTTTTTTTTTTAAAATTATTTGTCATTGCTTTATTGATATCCATTTGTGGGAAGGCATTTTTACATGTGTATATTCTATTTGTGCTTCTGAATGCAGGGCTCTGCTATTGATCGCATATTGGGGGAGATAGTGCACAGTAAACCATTGAAATCACCCATTGATTATGTCTTATGCATTGGTCATTTTCTGGAGAAGGTAAAAGCCAAATCTTTGATCCCAGCTTTTTTCTTAGTTGCTGTAACTGGGGAAAAGAAATATTGTACTGGATTTTTAATTCTTTGAGTCATAACAGCCCCTTCATTAAACCCTCCTGTTCAAGAGATCCACCTTGGTGCTGTTTATTGCCATTATTGGCTTTCCTGCAGTAAAACAGGATGAGTGTGATATTCATGTTCAATCTATTATTCTCTACTAAGTAATGATAGCAGGATTGAATCGACTTATATCACATACCAATATTTTGGTAACTGGTCATATATAGTTTAGACGGCTAAAGTAAGTTACACATTAAATGAGTACTTGGTGAGTTTAGATGACTACCAGAGGTCACAAGTTGCTCAGTGTCAACCAAATCTATAAGTATATTTTTGTATTTGTTGTGTTACTCTTCATTGGACTATCTTTTAAGTATGATGATTGATTTGCTTAAAGCCAATGATCAAAGAACTCAAGGGGTGTCACTATCTGAGGCTTGAAGTTTTTATGGGAACAAGTTGAGACAAATCTATTTGTGTATCTATTTAAACTACATCACCATAAAGTCAAGCCATTGGCTATTGAGTAAGAACCATGCAACCCCATCATAAATGTTCTTAGTCTCATGTAAGCTTATTTAAAGAATGGTGAATTGACCTGTTTGCCCTTTCAAGCTTGATAAATAAGGTTAAAATGCCCTTATCTAATACGTAGAAGTCTATCAGCAAACCAAAGCTTTAAACCCCAGTCATGAATAGGTTGATGGTGCATAGAAGTTAGATGCGTTTTGTAGAAGCTAGGGTTTCAGCATGCACAGGCGACAGAAAAGTTCATTGTGTCTGTGATTGCGTAAAGACAGAACAAGGTGTTATAAATACTTCAGAAGAGGGAAGAAAAAGAAATACTAAAAAGCATCAAGTTATATTAAGAAGAACTATTTTTGAGGCCATTGCCACCGACTTGTTCTCTGATTTCACAATTTTTTCTTATAGTTAGTTTTAATAACTCCTTTCACATCACTCTTTCTTGATGAGGACATCTATGCCTCACTTTTCCACTTCCTTCCAATTTTTTGGAAAACACCAAAATTGAACTTGTGAGCACTCGTGTTCATTGTTTCTTTGTCCCTCCATTCTCTCTCACATGTTTATATAGCTTACCATATTCTTTCATGCAACAAAGTATGATGGGGACTTCATGAGTAGTTTGTGGTTGAACTTCCTTGCCCATTTACTAAGGAACTTCACTCCTTATTCCTCACCTATTAGTGTATAGAACCAATTTGTTTTCTTTTTATATATTTCTTTTTTTTTTTTTTTTTTTGAATGAATTTTATGTATTTCTTCCTAACACTCCTTTTTTTAAATAGATCTGAAATAATTATTGCTAGCATGATTGCTTCTCATCTGAGCGAAACTGTATTGCCAACGGATATATGTTTCAGTGTACTAATTGTCACATCCAAGTCATTCATGTTGACTCAGTCCCAGCCCGACAGAGAAGCCAAAAATCACAACTCAAGGAAATCTAGTAACTTTTCATTTTAGTATTGAACCTTTCCAGTTCTAATCTGTTTCAGGTCTTCTTATTTGAATTATGTAATGTTCTTCCACTTGCCTTTTTTTTCCCCATTCAATAGGTTACCCTGTTTCATATATTGTCATTTTCCTCTTTACATTTACGCTGAAGACTAAAAATGCAGTTGTGGGCAACTTGTTATCCATACTATGAAACAACTAATGTTTCCATGCAACTGGCTGATAAATGAGTTGCACAGAATTAGTCCGCGTTTGACATTGTTTAGAGTCTTCTCTTGTGTGTTACTTGACAGAACCCTGTGTGCATATATTTTGCATTTTTTTTTTTTTTTTAAATCCTCTTGTGTGTTACTTGACACTTGACAGAACCCTGTGTGCATATATTTTGCATTTTTTTTTTAATTGAAATTGACATATTGCTTCAAATAATGCTTAAAATGATAGAAAGCATGTTCAATCTGTTTCAGGGCTCCCCAGCCTTCAGATAATAAAGTTCATTTACTGGAATTAATTTGAGATGTTATTTTCTTGTGTCTAGGATGAAGATGTGTACACATTTTTTGAGCCAGAGCTTCCCTCTGACAATGGGAACCACCCAAGAACGAAAGCATTTGATACTTCAAAGTTTCCTGAAAGACCACCACCAAAGCCTCCAGCCAATAGAGGTGGATCAAAAGCATCACATGGAAAGACTCAACGTTCAACCCCAAACTCAGAGAAGATGACAAATCATAGCAACGGTGGGGTCTCACGGAAGCAATCATCAGAGAAGACCTCCTGGAACGTGCTGGACCTTAAGAAAGATGACTATTTCTCCTGTGCTGTGGGGAGAACTCGGACCAGCGCTCGTTACACAATAGGATCTTCAGATGACGTCATCTCATTTTTAACAAGATTAGCTGAAGCATCTTTGTCCGTTTCATGAACTTCAAAATCCTGACCTTATACCCTAGTCTCGATTCTTTTAGTGCTGTTGATTCTTGCTACCTAAAGGCATAATGAATAATTAGAATGATTGTAGAGCCTAGTACAAGGCATGTCTGACAGTTCAAGAGTTGCTAACTGATTCTAACAGTCATGAATTTCGATTATCATCTTGTATCATGACGACTATAACTCACACTATTTGATCAATCTATATTAGAAAAGCACTTACCCCTATTAAAGCTGTTTAAATACAGTGTGCCTACAAAAAAGAATCGAAGTATTAAGTATCAATTTTGAAGGAAAGAATATGGAAGAAGCTGAATGGGTGAAAGGAGAAACTACTATCAAAGCTGGGCAAAGAAGTACTTGTCCAAGTGGTGGCACAGGCAATTCCTACATACGTGATGAGTATTTTTAAAAATCTCGGATGATTTCAGTGATGAAATTCATGCTTTACTGTGTTGCTTTTGGTGGGGGTCAAGCTCGGATGGCCAAGGGGGGTCTCAGATTTATGGACCAGTGCTTCAATCAAGTTTTACTAGCAATACAGGTGTGGCGAATATACAATGGAGGTGACTTGTTGCTGCATAAAATTTATTGATACGAGTTGGTCGAAAGCAATAAGCATTAAGGGAAATCAGAAGGCAAAAAGGATTAAGATATATCATAAACTAAGGTCTAAGTGAATCAAAGATACAAATATCAAAGACCTAACATAGGCCATTCTATAATTTTATTTTATTTTTTTATTTTTTATTTTTTGACTAGGCCATTCTATATTTAACATGATCCAATTAATACTAATTAAAGGGGAAATTCCTTGTTTCTCATATTGACAAACGAAATTTGTTTCTCATGGCGGCATTTTCGTAAATAAATCAACAACTTTTTCATTATTGTGGGCTCCACAATTGAATAAAGTTGATAAAATTGTTGGTTTATTTACGAAAATGCCATGTGAGAAACAAGAAACTGGGGCATCCTCTAATTAAAGATATATATTGGAAGATAGCAAACACTGCGGTTCTCATCATAAGGGTCCATGTTCAATGTATCATCGGCATGGCTAAGTACCTTGGTAACTATTAGAGTTTGAATACATTTTGTATTCGATTACTGAAGGCAATAGCAGCCATATATATAGAAGTACAAGCAACAGAGGATGAAACCCGTTGCTTATACTAAGCCTAAGAATAAGCCTAGATACTAGGAACTAACCTAGGAGACTATTAAAATACAGCCTGGAGGATAATAACAAATACAAAGATAATGACTAATAACAAATACAAGGATAATTAATAATAACAGAATATTGATGCTAAGCTTATCACTTAACAGTAACAACCTCCTTAAGGTCGTCTCTTGGATAGTCTGTATTATTCAGGCAAGCCATGATAAGATCGTCAACTTTGATACTGTTATCATGACCAACATCGCCGTGATACTGAAACCAAAGCCATATATCTTTGATTTTAAGATTGGAACCAGAAGAGTTTAATTCCAACTCCATAGGCAAAGAACAAAACTTGGATCGATACTCAAACTTATTATCCATTTCATGATTAGGATTGTCTTCTTTATGTAACGTCAGCCTCCCATTATTACCTATGTCTTTACTCACAATTGTCTTCAACATTTGCTGAGGATTTCTGTGTTTGGGACGATGAATAGAAATTATGGGGAATTGCGAAAGGGCCGTACCATTATGGAATTTTAAGTGACGATATGCAGCTTTTGATCGTTTTCGTGCCTCCAATAATCCAATTGGTTGTTGATTATTATTATTATTATTGGTAACGATGGTAGCATGAACAGAGATAATGTAATAAACCAGGAGTCCCATTTAAACCAGGAGTCATGGGTGGTGAGGTAATCTGCAGCCACATTTGGAGGCGGGAGTTGCATAGCTATAGACTCGAGTCGTGAAAATTTAGTCAAAAACTGTACCTTATATTTAGACCAACAAGCCTTTAGCATTTGATGGAACAAAGAGTCAATGATGGCTTCTACAAAGAGACCAAGCACAAACCAACGCCTTCCTTGGCCATCACCTAGCATGTTCTCGAGTTTGTCGTGAATATAATTTATGAATCGGCCTCGTATACCATACAGAGCTTTGTTGTTATCAGGATAAAGTAGTGACGATGGCAAGGTAAACGAAGGTGAGGTGATTCTTGTGGGGTAATTCTTTGTTTCTCATTGTCTCATGGGGTATGTGTCAAGATTTAGGACTCCCACTCATGACATATATACGGTCCCCACCAGTGAAAAACATCATATTATTTTCCATATTGTCATTATAAAGTGGGGCTCCCTCATTCTTGGGATTAGGGGATTATATTTACGGGAGGCAGCCGTGCAGTGACATAGGGTAACAATGTCGAGTTTGCTTAAGATTGTTACCATTACATCACTTGGTAGACGGTCGAATTGGTCAGTATCATCAGTCGTCATTGGTTCTTGCTCATCCTTCGATTTCATAAACCATTGTCTAATCGTTCGTAAACTATGGTACAGTGCCATTGATACCACTAATCCTCTGCTTATAATAACTAAGCTTCCCATCGATATGATATGATGATCAAATAATTTGCATAATTCACTTGATGACTTGCTGTTTGATAACTATGCTAATTATTCCTATAATTATTAAAAAATTTCAATATATTATGGGATAAGAAAAAGAATGGGAAATTTAATGAAACAAAACGGAAGCGGTGGGATTAAAACAAGAATCCCGAGGGATTGGAAAATATTGTGGAAGCTAAATTCAAAACCTAAGGGGCCGTTTAGTTCGCAGAGGGGAATCAGAATGAAATGCAGAAAGAGAATGGAGAAGAATGGAATGAAACTCTCAAAATCCAAACCCACACAACCCCCAAGAACCACCGATGAGGTGCGGCGAAACCACGACCGAAACCTAGCCAAGAAACCACGCCCGGAGGGTTTTTTAAGGGTTATACGTGGGTCGGGGAAGGGTTTTTGGGTGGGAGGAGGGGCGACGAAGGGCGGCGAGGGTCGGGGGAAGGTCGACGAGCATCCGGTGAGGTGAAGTGAGTTCCGGTGAGGTGCATCCAGTTGATAAGGTATGGTGGTGGACTGGTGGTTGGGGAATGGGAATGCAAAATGTAGGGGTGGGGAATGGGTTTAGGAGATTTTTGGGTAAACTCAAAAATAAATGGGGGAATGGGGATGACAAATAAGTGAAAACAAACACTAACAAAGGGAATCATTCTCATTCCCTTTACCCATTCCAGCGAACCAAACGGCCTAAGTGTATGTCTATTCAATGATCACATATAAATATAATAATGATCGTCATAGTCTTAAATTTGTCAAAAATAAATAAATTAAAGATAATCTTAGTCGTGCTAGGAAACGTATCATAACATAATAAAAATATGAATTTTTGATAAGAAACATAATAAAAATATGTTTCTTATCAACATAAAAGATATACTAGTATTTACCAAAATAATATCCATAAAGACCTAAATATTACTTCGTAATTTAAAACTATTAGATGACAACTTGTGTATTGTTTTTTTATAGGTAAATTTTATAAAAGAATAATCTTAACCTATCTAAGCGTGCCACATAATAAAAGGTATGATTTCAACCAAAAGAAAAAAGGGGTTGTTAAATATCGTCCTCAAATATCTAACTAACGCCTGAAAAATAACATAAAATTACGTACTTATCCTTATAATAACGATTATTAAAATAATTAATTTTACCTCAATTACACACTTTTACCGTACACAAAAATTTTAACCGTTCTCTACAGTGGTCAACAGCCACCAACGATCATCGGACCAACCACCGTGATTTTCAAAATCAAACAAATTTTTTAAATTTAGCAAAATCAAATTTATTGGATCTTATGGACGACGACAAAATACCGAAAACACAACCTATGCTGCTCGCCGATGGCTCGTCGGACCGTACGGACTCGGTGTGTGCTGATAATTTTTTTTTAAAATTCGAAACCCAGGTAAACGCCTAGGATTTTTGAAAACCCTAGGCTAAAACGCCTAGTTTTTTCAAACATCCTAGGAAGTTTCAAAAAAACTAGGCGTTTCAGCCTACGGTTTTCGAAAATCCTAGGCGTTTGCGTGGGTTTCGATTTTTTTTCTTTTTTATTGTTTTGGATCTCACGCATACTTTAATTGTTATTGGATTTCACGCATACGAAATTATTGTTGTTATTAGAATTATATTATATATTAGAATATTGGTATTAGAATTATTATAGGGTTAAAAAGTTTTGGGTAATGTTGAAGATAATTAAATTGTTTATAATTAGTTGTGTTGTTAGAATTGTCATCATTATTAGTTGTGTGTTATTATTATTATTATTATTATTATTATTATTATTATTATTATTATTATTATTATTATTATTGTTGTTGTTGTTGTTTCGGGGTTTTCTGATGTCCTGCGGGAGAGTTACAATACCGAGACTGGAACCGGACGCCTGTACCTGCAAAACAACGGAGACTCCTGATGGTGGGAGCTCCGCCTCCAACGGTCAAGTTAGTACTTGATTAAGGAGTAATTAATGCGGAAATTAAAGTGATTGGGTCTCTCTAGGTGAGAGTGTTTAATGTAGGTAATCTGCTTTGTTAGCGAGATCAGCCTGTTATCTCTGTGTAATCTCTGTAATTAATGTCATCTCCCTTAATGAGGATTAAGGGAGGTATTTATAACCTTGGGAAACGTGCTAATCCTAGGTTTAGGTTAACCTAGGGCTGATTGGGCTTCCCTCAGAAGTTGGGCCTGGGTGGCCGGTTTCTCCATTAGGCATGGAGTATGCCACGTGTCATGACATAATAGGTCCAAGGTGGACGAATAAGCGTGTGCCACGTGGCAAGCCCTGACAGTTCCAACTGGGGGACACTTGGCAGGACCTGATTGGCCCACGTGGCGCATTCCGATTGGTAGGAACAAAATCCCCTAATCATTTGCCCCTCACAGGTGGCACGTGACTGGTCACGTGTTACCTGTGACAGGTTGCCGCACTGTAACAGGCGACGGCCTGCTACAGGTGTCAGTCGGCGAAAGGCCGAGAGATTTTCCCGCCCAAATTTTGAATTCTGAAAGTGACCCTTCGCCTTCTCACTTCGCCTATATAAGGGAGTGTTGACTTCAGTCATTTTCACACTTGAGAACTTTGTGAGAGAACATTCGGACCCCTGAACTTGCTCTGACATTTTGGACCTTTTCTGCCTACC